TTTTGCTTTTTTTTTTTTTTTCCCTTCCCATCTTCTCTTTTCTAATCACTCTTACATTCTCCAAATATCCCTGATGCTCTTAAACGATGTAGGATATATGAGATAGAATGTCTTTAAAAATTGATTTTTTTTTTTTATTTTTATTTTGTGCGAGCATAAACACTAGATCAGCCATGGACTTAGCTTGCAATATATGGATCGAGATACTATTACCTGCTAAATGGGGTTTGACCCACTAATTCACTAAGGGCAAATTATGACGACGTCGTTTTTTAAAAAAAAGCGTCATTTAGTTAAAAAAGAAAAAATTTGTGCGCGTTTTGCCGTTAACGGCGTTATTTTTTTTTTTTGGATTATGAATGTACAGTTATGCCGTTATGAATGTACAGTTATGCCGTTATGAATATACACTTATGCAATTATGAAATTATGAACACAGAGCTCTAACATTATGAACTTACAATTATGAACATATATAGTGATAAAATTATGACCATGGAGCTTTAAAATTGTGAATATAGAGCTTCGAAGATTATGAATGTACAGTTATGGAGTTATGAATGTACAGTTATAGAGTTATGAATCTACAGTTATGGAGTTATGAATCTACAGTTATGAGATTATGAATCTACAGTATGGAATTATGAATGTACAGTTATTGATTGAATTATGAACAAAGAGCTCTAACATTATGAACTTACAATTATGAACATATAGTGATAAAATTATGAACATAGAGCTCTAAAATTGTGAACATAGAGCTTCGAAAATTATGAATGTACAATTATGGAGTTATGAATGTACAGTTATGGAGTTATGAATGTACAGTTATGGAGTTATGAATGTACAGTTATAGAGTTATGAACGTACAGTTATGGAGTTATGAATGTATAGTTATTAACATATAGTAATAAAATTATGAACATATACTCTTACAATGAAGCGGTCTGAAATTTAAAATAAAATAAAAAAAAAAAAAAAAAAAAAAAAAAAAAAAGGAGATAACAGTGCCTAACGGCACTGTTACCCGTGTCCAGCAAGCATGCTGGACACGGGTCCAACGCATAACGATCCTTCACTAAGGGTGTGTTTGGTTCGCACATAGGAATCGGAATCGGTATGGATATCAAATACTTGGTAATGGTAATGGGTTTTGGTGAAAATATTTAACATGTTTGGTAGTAAGGTGGAATGAGAATGGTTACTAATAGTAGTGTTTGAGAATGAATAAGGTAATGAACCTATCAACCAAACAACAACAATCACTTTCATACCCATTCCTATGGACAAAATCCACCAACCAAACACACCCTAAGTAATATTTGCGAGGAGAAATTAATGTTCAAAACTTGACAGCGACCGTGTGAAGATTATGCACAAAATGAATAAATCCCTTGTGCGTACCGGCATTTGGCTATGTTGGCCAATCACTAAGTTATTATAATTTACTTTTTTTTTTACGTGTTTTGTCGAGCTGAGGTGTGGAGGACGTTTAGGCTTGGAGATTTAACTTTTGGGAGAAAGAAGATAAGAGATAGTGTGGCATACAATTTATTAATCACTTCTTTAAATAGGATTCGACTTATACTCTTTAATGATGTGGTCAAAACGATTGTAAGCAATTTACAATCTCAAAATTTGATTTTCTTTCTCTACATTTAACCTTGGTATCAATCCACGATTCTCTTTTGATTGATAAATGAAACAAATTATTGACCACAATTCAAGGAAGATATTTAGATATATTGTAGCCATTACCACAAAATTAAGCATTTGTCGAAAGCTGAAGAAGCACTACACAAAAGTAGCAATTATTAGTTCTCTTCTTATCAACAGTTCAACTTCAACCCCATAAAAGTCACCACAGCCCGCTCTGTTAAGATCAAATGCTGCCTCCATATATCCACATTCTCATTAAGATAGTGAGACAACGGAAATTAAAGGACCACCATCATACCAACTTTGGAAAATTCTTATTCACTTGTTGAAAAAAAGACAATAAAACCACTTTTCACCAATTAAAAAAAAAATATCACCATTCTTCTCCCAAAAGCTTGAATCCTCCTTAACCCTAAGGGTCTCCACCCGACCTGACAAAACATTTAGGAGGCCGGATATAAATCATGATGACTCAAGAGCTCAGCAAAAGGTTGAATTCTCAATTCCAAGGGTCCCCACTCTGCCACGGCAGAACATTTTGGATGATGTAAATCACGGTAACTCAATAGCACAACAGACATGGAAGACTGATGAAAGGCTTTCCAACCTTACATTAAATTTTTAAAAGAATTGATATCACATTAATGTGCAAAAAGCATTTTCTTGCATTATTTTGATAAAAAAAAAATAAAAAATTACACCGTTTTCGAAAAAAAAAAAAAAAAAAAACTCAACAGTTTTATACTAAATATACATGATATTTAAATATACATTATTTTGGGACGAATATGCATATTTTTTACTTAGACTAACACCCGGTACTAATTAAATTTATTTGACATAAATATACTTCGATAGATTTTTTTTTTTGAATGCTACTCGCTCTATTACAATGTAGTATCTGTTCATATACTTTCTCAACCTACTGAAACACAAAGAGCTAATAACGCCTCCACAGAGGCTCGAACTCACAATCTTCCAAATGGAAGTCCAACCCGGGTACCATTGGACCACATAGTCCTGGTCCAAATAGATTAGAAAGTCTAAATACACATAATTTTAGATCAATATGCATATTAGGGGTACATTGTTATGAATAATTGTAAGATTTCGATGAGTCAAAATTGTATTTTGAAAAATGAGAATTCTCAATTTTATTTTATTTGAGTAGGATTGGTCCGTATATGTGAGCAAAAATGTACAAGAAATTCAAGTTAAATTTACCAAGTCTTTGAAGAATTTTATTTGGTAAGAAGTATAGAGCAGTAATTGAGCTTATATTTTTATTTCGAACACAAGAAAGAACAAAGGTTAATATGGCAGAGTTGAAAGAAGGCTTATTGAGCTTATTAAGTGGAATGATATACTAAGTTTGAATCTCATTAAAATCCATTTTTGGAGACAACGAACGTAACTCTACAGCTTCTACCTAAAGAGTTCAGAAGAGATTAATTGCACGAGCTCTAATTTTAGAGACGGAGGAGGCCGAAAATCCTACTACTCTCAACAGATGAGATGAGCAAAATCCTACTACTATCAACGGATGAGATGAGCTCTAAAATTAGCATTGGAGTGGAATCCTACTACCATCAAACGGATGAGATGAGCTCTAAAATTAGCATTTGAGTGGAATGAATTCTACAAATAGCATTGAAGGCATATGAGCTCTATTTCTAGCATGAATGCAAAGTGGACCCCACCACTAGCATGGAAATGGAAGTGCTCTACTGCATGCTCTAATTCTAGAGGCCATGCAAGTCTCTACTTCTAGAGCCCAAGCATTCCATGAGCTCTAAATTTAGAGCTCAAAGTTTTCTACTACTATAGTTCATACACCATGCATGGCTCTACTGTCCACTCTACTATATGTTCTAAAAATAGAGTTCTACTAATACTCTAAAAATAGAACTCTACATAAGAGAAAGAAAGGATGCTAAATTATATTTTACGTGGACTGCATGAACAAGATTGGAAACGGAAAGGATGATGAGGTTGGTTCACGAAGAAATTATTTGAGCTCAAGCAAGAATCAGTAAATCGAAAAATAATTATTTTATGCTCAAGTAAGAATTAACGGATTAAAATATTTGGAAGGTCAACTTAATTCATCAGATCAATAATGCAACTACAAAGTCAAGATTTCACATGGATAGACGATTCAAATTTGGAGGATACATTTTCCAAAGGTAAATTATGCCAGAACAAAAGAAGTTTATTTACACAAAGGCCCTGTTTGGTAAAATGGCTGTTAGCTGATAGCTATTAGTTGTTAGTTGATTGTGTTAATTAGAGGGTATAAATAGTTAATAACATTAGTTGATTGTAGAAAAATGTTTGGTAAATTAGCTGTTAGCTGATAGCTGTTTGGTATAATTTCTTTTCTCAAAAAGCTAATTGAAAAAGTTGCTTGGAGTAGCATTTTGAATTTTAGCCTTTTGGAATTGCAAAAAGCTAATTAACCAAACATCTATATTGATATTTTAATTAAATCAAACAATTAATAGTGGTCAAATAAGCCAAAATTGGCCTATAGGCCAATTTTTTACCAAACAGGGCCAAAGTATGTCTCTCCAAGAAGAGCAATGGATGAAATTTCAAATTTATCTGACAACGGCGCAAAGGTTAATATTTAGAGTTGCAGATCAAGTTGGCGATTTTATCTGATCAACTACGCAGCAAGATGAATGATCGAGATCGAAAGTTGATCAACGAACAGATAACTTTTATCATATATAAATACCCTAGAAGACTTGAAGAACAAGCACAGAAAAGACGAATGCAAAGAACGAGCAATACGAATATTTGCCAATAAAGGGGAAAGAGTGTTTCATTAGAAATATCTTTTCAAGTCTGAAAGAGAAACACTTGTTTTTGTTTCTTTGTAATAGTTATGGCAGGGTAATAAGAGGTGGTTGTGAAAATCGTAATTGAGTGTAGCTTTGTGCACTTGTGGTGTAGGAGTATTAATGTGCAAAATGTGTTCAATTAAGTTTCCACTTTTGCACGGTCCACTTGTCCACCAAATGGCCACTGCCTCAACACTCTCTCCACAAAATGGGGAATGAATTTGTCTCCATTTCATTCCATTCCTCTAGGCGTGCAAACACTCCACTAGTCCATTATCTAAATGATTACAAATTAAATCATACAGTCTAAAGATTTTTTTTTCCATATTATTTCAGAACGTGACATTCTTCTTTTAATAAAAAGAGATATGATTATATTAAAAGTAAAGTTATTTAATTTGTCGGATATCCAAATACACCTACTCACAAATAACATTGTTAAAGTAATATATGTGTTTCGTCTTAAGTAAAAAATTAATTAAAATAATAATTGAGTTACACATTAATATTTATATATTATATGCTCATAATCAAAATAAACCTTGAGAAAGGGAACAAATAAAGCAAATTTAGCAAATATATTAATATCTGTCAATATTAATATATTATTTTTAAATTTTAATAAGCGGCGGTGGATACTTCGATCCGACCAAGATTCGATTAAATTAAGGTTTGATTTCGAGTTGGAATGCTTTGTTCATACCGGAAGAAATTCTCGGGATCCACCCTGCTCTTCACCGTCACCAACCTCTCAAAATTCCCCACGAAATATCTCTCTCCATAAACCTTCCCTTCCTCGTAGCTATGAGCCCCATGGTGGTTAATTCCGACGTCGATGTCTCTGTAATTGATATACGCCTGCCTCGGATTACTCGAAACAAACGGCGTCATGAAGCTATGGAGCTCTCTTATCTGCGAGCTGTACTTCTCGTCCGCCGCCGCGCCTTCTTCTTTCCAGTTCACGGCGTACTGGATCTTGAACAGGATTCCGGCGCGGTGGGGGAACGGCGTTTCGGTCGACGGGATTTCCGCCATTCTTCCGCCGTATGGGTTGAATGTGAGGCCTGTGTTGCCCAGTTCTAGAAGTTTCTCGCACAGGGAGGTGAGAGACTCCTTTGGAAAGGGCTTTTGCAGGTAATCGGATTTTCGCCGGAAAAAGCTTGACTTGCCGGGGGTTCTGTTCAGTAATGTTTCGGGTTTTGTGGTGTTGTCGAAGTTCGCCCAGGTTAGAACCGATTGGATCCAACTCATCTCGGTTAAATCCGAGAGGTTTAGCCCTAATTTCGGGAATTGGTCGTTTAGGATTGAGATAAGCGTGTTGGAATCTCCGAGGAATAATCCGACGAAGGATGCTCGGACGGTGACGTTTTGGCTGCCCGGCGGGGTTGTTACCTGCAACATAAGCCTGATGAAAAGATTGTCGTCGGTTTTGCTGGCGGCGTTGAAGTACTGGGAAATGACGTCGTTGAAGTTCTCGGTTTGGCCGAAATATTTTTCTGCCCGGAAATATGTCACAGATTTGGGGACTTTAACGAGCTCGATTTTGTAGGCCAAGATGACGCCGAAGCTGGCGGCGCCGCCGCCTCTGATTGCCCAGAAGAGATCTTCCCCCATAGCCTTCCGGTCCAGAATTCTACCGTTCACATCCACGATCCTAGCGTCCACCACGTGGTCGGAGGTCAGGCCGTAGCGGCGGATCATGTTGCCGTATCCGCCGCCGGTGATGTGGCCTCCCACCCCCACGGTAGGGCACACTGCGGCTGGAAACCCATGCTCCGCGCTCTTCTCCCATATCCCATAGTAGAACTCGCCGAGGGTGGCGCCACCCTGCACCCACGCAGTCTCGCCGGCGATATCAACCTGTAAGCACATAAATATGTGTAATAAAATGATTACTCTGCTAATCTCTAGCCATATCATTCAATGATTAAAGTCCCTTCATACACGAACACCCTCAAACCTATAAAGCATACACACCAAAAGTTAGCTAATAACAAATGTTAAATTTTATTTCTTTATAATAATAAATGATCATTGCATATTAAAAAGTTATAACTATTAGCAAAGAATTTTAATACACACACTCTCAATTTTACTTCTTGATGTAACAGATTTTTGATAAGTTATTTTTTATGCGAGTCTCAATATAAGTGGCTACCTCATAATTTAGAGAAAAGGGTCAAATAGCCCCTAAATGTTACCTCAAATGTCAATTAAGCCCCTAAACTTTAAAAAGATTCAATTAAACACTCAAACATGTCAAGTTGGGTCAATGAAACCCAAAAATCGGTAAATGACATGTTACAGGTCATTTCAATTCCGGCCGTCGATGACGAATTTCGGCCACCAACGAAAAATTTCGACCGTCTGGTCATCTTCCACACTGGGGAAGACGAACGGACGACCAGAAATTGTCGCCGATGGTCGAAATTCGTCATCAGTGGCCGGAATTCGTCATCGGAATTGAAATGATCGGTAATAACATGTCATTTACCGATTTTTGGGCTTCCCTGATCCAATTTGACGTGTTTGAATGTTTAATTGAACCTTTTAAAAATTTAAGAGTCTAATTGATCTTTGGAGTAAAATTTAGAGACTTATTTGACCATTTTCTCCATAATTTATTAGGAGTATAAAGTAGAAGTACACATAGTATTTTTCTATAACAAATGGTCACCTACCTCCCCCAATAATCATAATCATAGTCACTAGTTGGTGGACATAATCCTTTACACTAGTACATATCTACACATTTACCACTATCAGTAAATGACATAATAAATACTAGTAATAAATAGAAAAACGTTACACAATTTTCTCCCAAAAATCAAAACATACTCAATATTTAAGCAGATAATAAAAATAAATTAGGATGACTCAATGACTAAGCAAACAGAGCCACACGTTACAGAACCTGGATACTACGGAGGTTGAACATGTCGAGGATGATGAAGGTGTCGTTGGAAACGTACGAAAGCCCCTCGTAATCATGTCCGCCGCTGCGGATTCTGAGTTGGACGCCGATGGCTTTAGCGCACAGCACCACCGGCGGGACATGGGACTCCCGCAAAGGCGTCACGATCGCAACCGGTTTGGGAGATGAAGTGGCGTTGAAACGCCGGTTTCTCAGATACGCTTGCAGAACGGACGGGAACGAAGCATTGCCGGAATCATAGACAATCCTGGAAACTTCGTCTTTGGGAATGGGATTAGCAGTAACGTTGGATAAACACTGAACAAAAGAATCGTCGGAAAAACAAGAATTGAATATGCTGCAAAGTGCCAGAAAAACAAGAAAGGTAGAAGAAGAAGACGACGACATCATCATCGTTCAATGTGTGTTTGTGTTTCTGGAAAATGATCGCTGCGCTTATGTTGTTTAAAAGGGAGAATGATAATGTGAATACGCGACTTCTTTCCCATTATTATTATGGGTCATTACGCCGTATCAAGAGAAATTTAATTCATTTCCTAAATAAAATCCTAGATTTGGTCCATCCTTGTTATATTTGACTTCTAGCTATCATCTGTATTCATGTATATACTGGCCCTGATTGGTAAAAAAAAAAAAAATGGTTTATATAAGTCAATTTTAGTTTATTTGACCACTATTAATTGTTTGATTTAATTTTGTTTTTTAAAAGTTATTGGCTCTATTACATTGTAGTAACGGCTCGAACTCATAATCTTCCAAATGGAAGTCCAACCCGAGTACCATTAGACCACATAGTCCTAGTGTTTGATTTAGTTAAAAATGCTAAAATTCAAAAAATTACTCTTCAATTAGCTTTTTTCAGAAAAAAAAAATTATACCAAACAGCTATCAGCTAACAGCTAATTTACCAAACACTTTTCTACAACAACTAATATTATCAACTAGTTATATCAAGCTATTAGCTATCCAAAAATTTACCAAACAGAGCCACTACGTAATCTACTATGAAAAATATTAAGATAATCCTAATCTAATGGGTCCCACGACTTTTACATCCGTGTCAATTTGTCATATTTGATCCCTCACTATTAAAATTTTCATATTGGATAGATTGATTCTCTAATACTATAATTAACAATTAATATCCCTTCTAATTAAATAATTTGTATTTATTGTAAAAAATATTCAGTGCTTGTAAATTTAAGTTTGTAATATAATTTTAATATATTTAACTTAGATTTTAACATTATTAATGTTTGTATATAATATTTTTATTATGTAATCATAATATCATTAACTCAATATCATATTAACTTACAAAGTTGATAAAATAAATAGTTTATAACATTATTTAGTCCCATTGGAAAAAAAAACACAGAAAGTGATTTTGGGAGGAAAAAATAAGTTTTTAAAATGAATAAGACTCAAATTAGCAATTAAACGTAACGTGAAAATGCAATTGAATCACTCAATTAAAAAAAATGTAATTAGACCATTCAAAAAATCATGCAATTTGTCCCAAGTAACTTACATTGGCAGGTTACCAACAGGTAATTAGTTAAAAAAAAAAAAAATTAAAAAGGGCTCCGATCGTTTCCATGGATCTGGAGACGAAAAAGCCATGGGCTGCATTTCTGCGCCGCTTTGCACAAGGTTCTTCGCCGGAGCTCCGTCGCCCTGGCTTGAGCCGTGGGTCTTTTGGCGACACTGTGAGACGTCATTTGGCATCTCTGCAGTTTGGCTATCAGATTAGCAGAGATGAATTTTCTTGAAGAAGACGACGATTGGTGATCGCCGGCATTGTAAGGGAAGTTCATTCTCGCCATTAACCAGCTCCATCATCTTCCACACCAAATTCACAATCTTCATTTGCTGCTTGTTTTTCAAAGCGTTTGGAACGAGTACATTCTTATAATTTTATTTTTGACTAGTCATTACATGGTTGTGGATTCTATAACAACTGAAGTTTGCCCTTCTAATTTTCGTGCATGGGTAATAAGGGAAACCATAAGGTGGGGAATGCCTTTGAAAGCGAAATGAGTACTCTAAATCCATGTGACAACAAAAGGGTACCCAAAGACAGATTTCGCCAAGGAGAAGACAAGAGAGAGGGTTGGAGGATTTGTGATCGTCGGCATTGTAAGAAAAGTTCGTTCTCGCCATTTGCCCACACATCAGCTTCGCCGCCTCGTTGCACTCCCTCGCTGCGTCATTCGCCATCTCGTATATGGTTGTCTTTCGTCTCCAGATCAATGGAGACGATCGGAGCCTTTTTTTTTTGTTTAAATTTTTTAATTTTTAACTAATTACCTGTTGGTAACCTGCAATTGCAAGTCACTTGAGACAAATTACATGATTTTACAATGTTGAATGGTCTAATTGCACTTTTTTTTTTTTTTTAGTTGAGTGGCCAAATTGCATGTTCACATAATCACATTAGGTTCATTAGCTAATTTGAGCTTTATTCCCCTTGTAAAAAACTATTAGAAAAATAATAATTTGACTCATAAGATAATTCATGTGTTTATTTGTGAAAAGACAAAAAAAAGATCCCCTCAAATCAGGTCAAGTTATTCTTGTTCAAGTTGATTCTGTAGTAATACTATACGATCAGCTACGCCTTATTTAGCCAACCCATGAGCAATTGTTCGTGGCCTTTATGGAGAAACTTTTTAAGAAGGAGATACATTAGTTACATTTCACTATGAAAAATCGAGATCCGGTGATATAACACAAAGTCTTCCAAAAGTATAACATGTAGTATAACATGTATTAGAAGTGCGTTTTGTGGATTCAATATCGATGAATCTAGAAAGGAGGGTTGAGGGTTGGAACAAATGCTTAACAAGAATTCTTGGAATTAATCGATAACTAAATTTTAGGTTGGATGGACTAAATGTGGCAATGATTTAATAGTAATGGGACCAAATTTACAAAATTTAATAGTCTGTAACCATATGTGGTAAGAATTTAAAAATTGTTGGACTAAATTTAAAAAATTTAATAGTCAGAGATAAAATGTGACAAGAATTTTGGCCGAGAGACAGAAGTGTGGGATCAGCCTTGGTTACCTGATGAAGAGCATCCCTTCCTTCAAACCCCCATGCAGGATAACCAGCAGTTTATGAAGGTCAGTGATCTTTTAAATCAGACAACACATGACTGTGATATAGAGCGCATAAATATTTTATTTCAGCCACGAGATGTTGGTCTGGTTTTGAAAATACCCCTTGCATTGCTGCAGTTTGATGATCAATGAGGCTGGCGGGGTGATATTCGAGGATCGTATTCCGTAATACATGACTACCGTCTCCTCTCGGGCATGCATGAGACGCTGAATATGCTTGGTAGCCTGGCGCAGTTTCTGGAAAATGAAGATTCCTCCAACCACTGTGCACAATCTACTCCCCAAATCTCTTCTGATGTGTTAAAGTTTTTGTTGACGCAACGATTTTCTCCGAGCTTGACTCTTCTTTTTTTGGCTGCATGCTCACGGATAGTGCTGGTAGTTTATTGGCAGCAAGAAATGGTTCTCTAAGATGCCTAAATGATGCTCACTTGGCAGGGCCATGGCTGTTAAATAATCCTTAACATGGCTTAAAGATCGAGGTTACACTAAGGTTGCAATATTGTTTGATTGTCAACTAGTTTTGCAAGTTGCTGAATGGGATGGAATTGACCTATCTTATATATGCAGGCTGTGTTATTAGTGCTTGTAAGGAGCTTTGCCGACACTTTATAATTGCGTCTTTTTCGTTATATTTCTAGATCAGTGAATAAGTGTGCTCATGTCTTGGCTAGAGCCACTCGTTCACAAACTGATCTGCTTAATTGATTTTATGTTATCCCAAAATTGTATTGCTCATTTGATTTAATAAAATTGTCCCATTTAGTTTTCAAAAAATTTAGACATTTTAATAGCCGAGGACAAAACGTTGAAATGGTCCATACTCATGGCACCAAACATAATTTGATAATTTGCAACTTATTATAAAAAATAAAAAATAATTATAATAAAAACAAATACATAAATAACATACACGGGTTGAGTTTATTGGTTCAGTAAGCATGAAGAATAATAAATACATAAATTAATACTTAACCATCCTTTTCCATTTTAAAAATCATGAAAATAATTTTTGAAAAATATTTTTTGAAAAATGAATCATTTTACACGGATCACTTTGGTAAACCGGTTATACCCAAACCCCATTTCCCCGGCTCTTAAGCCCTAGATAACCCATAACCCCATCCCAAGAAACTTATCGCCATGTTGAATGAATGAAGTCTATCAGTACCAAATAAGGAGATGAGCAATCTCATATTCGCAGCCGCCCATTTCCTTTCTGCTTCTGCTTCCTGAAAGCTAAGAAGAAGAGGAATAGCGTGTTGCTTCTGCTATGCTTCACCTTCAACCTCGCGGAGGACTCTTCTCGTACAGTTTCAGTAGCTGTAGCTGTAAGTTGAACAATCTTCTGGTGATAATGGCGTCTTCCAAGCATCTGGTTCACACTTCCTTGAAGTCCTCCTTCATAGTCGCGCTTAAACCGGTTTTGAATTCCATAACGCCCTCAGCTCCTTCTCGTCTCATCCACACTCACGGCCACGCTCTCATCTTCTCTGCATTTGCTTCCAAACCCGTCTCCCCCGCTCGTCAGGCGTCCCGTTTGTCCTACAGGGCCCATCGCGTTCCCCCGCCAGGTTGTTTTTCGTATTTGTGATTGATGATTTTGTGACGAAGTAGCAGTTTTTGACGGTGTTAAGTTTATGTTGCTTTTATAGTTTCCCTGGAAGATGGCCCCGAGGCGAAATCCTCGCGATTGAACTTGTTGAACCAGAAACTTAAGGAGGCCGGTATAGATAGTGTTTCGTGTGCCCCTGGCCAATACTCTGGATTGCATTGTCCAATGGTAATGACTTTAAATTGGCATTAACTCTGTTCTCAGGCCGTTCCATTGGTTTTTTTTTTTTTTTTTTTTTTTCTTCCAGTATGCACAAATAATATTGTTTTTCATACCTATATGTTTTGGCGAGTGGGAATATGAATGCAGTTGTCATCGAAATGACCTACATTTGCTCTTTCATGCAAGTTTCTGTAGTGTATAGTTTTTAAATCATATATAATGCCAACTCAGCATGTCACACAGGCTCTGTAAAGTCTGGTATTAAAATGTTTGGTTGATTCATGCCTACCATTTATCCTGCTAAATTTATGATTTCTTATGTTGAAGTTACCAGAGTATTTTGATGAGCTTCTTTTCTAAAAGTGAATAAATAGAGATACATCATACTGTGGCAGGAACATAGTATTTTTGCACAAAGACAAGGGTTTAACATTTCAATGTGTTTCTGTATCTTCAAAAGGGATGGTTATCAATTGTTTCTTCAGCTTCTGAAGACTATACCATTCTAGGGTATTTGACTCACATAGTAGTTCACAAGGGAGAATAAAGTTCAATGTTCTCTCTTTAACTGATTTTTTGGACAGTATTGAACTCGTGTAGTCCTTTACCTTTTCTAAGCGTGCATTTGGAAGAGCAATTGAAGTGGTCCACTGCTCTCCGGAAGGCTGCTTGGATAAATTACGGCTGGAGCAATTGGAGTGGTCTATCAGACTATCACTTGATTCATAGATTTTCAAATGGAGGGGTGAGGGTTTGGTGGGAGTATTGGACTGGTCCAACCTCTCCAATCTCATCGCTCTCCCAAATGCACCATAAGTTGTATAGTGTCTTGGCTTTGGTGTATATTTTGTTATGTTCTCTGTAATTTTGGGTGGTACCCCTTTGTTGCCCATCAATGATTTATTATTAAAAATAAGTGGTATCAATGCCATGGTGCTTGTGCATGGGTTGGCAACATGGTATATACATTCAAGTTGCCACTCTATTTGGGTATTAACCCATTTTTCTGCATGAACTTGCTTATACCATTCAAGAATGACCAGACAGATCCATGTCAGGGTGAAGCCGATTGGACACCAACTTCCCTTCCAGTCAGTTTGATTCAAGACTGTCTCTTGACAAGTCCAACCAAGACATGTGGTTACTTCACACTATGTGGAAGGATTACCAAAGTCAAAGGTCAGCTATGAGAAGGAGAATTCCCATTGGCAGTTCTTATACAAGTTTGAGTTCCCCATGAGGACATTGATGGTGGACCATGTCATGGCCTTATTTAACAGCAAGGACTCACATTGATTCTGCTATTTAGGAACTGCTAGATTAGAGACAGATATAATAAAAAGTAAATGTCTAAATATGAATCAGAAACCTCAACACTTTGTGCTTAAAAAAACATAAAATTTCAATGTTTTGACATTTTTTCATTTTATGTTTAAGCTGTTTAGTAGTCTGTTTTACCTTTATTTATAGTTTTCAAATTCTTATTCTAATGTGTTCTTGCAATGTTCTCTTGCTTTAGTGCAAAGGCGGGGACAATAATGTGAGGAGCTTATCTCTTTATATTGATCATAAAGGGTAATTGGTCGTAAAACTTTGTAGCTATTGCAGTATATTCCTTTCCTGTAACTGTATGCAGATGATATAATTCAATAATTCCTAGGGATACAGCTTTATGGACCTGCTTTCGAGGTAAATGTGGCTGGAGAGGCAGCGCACAGGTATGGTTTTGAATATTTAATTGTTTATTGCCTTATCATTAAGCATTTTTTTAGACATAACATTTACACATGGGTATGGTTTATTTGATTGCAGGCATTGGGAGATACGAAGTTAACAAAGGAAGATATGAAGAAGAGCTTGAAATCAATTAAGAAATACAGACAGTTAGATGAGCAAAGTTTGAGATTGGAACCTCTAAGTAGCGAGGTATAGTAGTTCTTTTCTTTGTAAGTATACACCTAAACATCTTATTTTACTCGCTTTTGGTTTTGATTTATTGCCTAAAGTTGTCTGTTACATATGCCTATATAGTTAGTTTTACATTAAGGCAAAATCACTATTATATGATAGTATGATACTCAATATAAACAATTAGATCCACCTTTCTCTATCCTTCCTCTCTTCCCTCTTCGGCTCCCCCTCTCTTTACCCTGCCCAAGCCCCTCTCTCTTCTCTTCCACATCACTTAATGGCTGTTTGGATAGGTGTGCTGTATTGATGGAATAAATGGGGCCCCTTATATTAAGGATTAATTAATATGAACTTCACAGTTGATCCTTTTTTTTTTTTTTTTTTTTTTTTTTGTGGGATAAGTAGAGAGATTATATTTATTTAGGCACCAAGATGTACCATCCAGAAATGCATTTTTTTTAGACATAACATTTACACATGGGTATGGTTTATTGGTTGCAGGCATTGGGAGATACAAATTCAACAAATGGAGATATGAAGAAGAGCTTGAAATCAAATAAGAAATACCGGCAGTTAGATGAGCAAAGTTTGAGATTGGAACCTCTAAGTAGCGAGGTATAGTAGTTCATTTCTTTGTAAGTATACACCTAAACATCCTATTTTACTCGCTTTTGGTTTTGATTTGTTGCCTAAAGTTGTCTGTTACATATGCCTATATAGTTAGTTTTACATTAAGGCAAGATCACTATTATATGATAGTATGATACTCAATATAAACAATTAGATCCACCTTTCTCTATCCTTCCTCTCTTCCCTCTTCTGCTCCCCTCTCTTTACCCTGCCCAAGCCCCTCTCTCTTCTCTTCTCATCACTTAATGGCTGTTTTGATAGGTGTGCTGTATTGATGGAATAAATGGGGTCCCTTGTATTAAGGATTATTTAATATGAACTTTATAGTTGATCTTTTTTTTTTTTTTTTTTTTTTTTTTTTTTTTTTTTTTTTATTGGGATAAGTAGAGAGATTATATTTATTTAGGCACCAAGATGTTCCATCCAGAAATGCTTTTTTTTAGACATAACATTTACACATGGGTATGGTTTATTTGTGTTACGAAAGTGAGGAGAGAGTTTTTCTAATGTGCTGTCATATATTGTCTCAAACTCTCATATAGAAAACAGAATACAAAGCCCTATAAATAGGTAATAGTAGACTACGAATAGGAAACAAGTTTCCATATATCAAATATATATTCTATTTTTCATAACACTCCCCCTCAAGTTGGAGCATATATTTTAATCATGTCCAGCTTGTTACACAAATGAGTGATAACCCAAAATAACTAAATAACAAATAACTCATGTTCATTTAGGACACTCCTTTGAAACGAAAGCCTTGAACGCCACGAATCCCACAACAAACACAAAGTGACCGAACAAGCTTGAGATTGGATACTCATACTCCCCCTCCAACGAAAGCTTCGAACGCCACGAATCCCACGAACAATGGGTGAACACAAAGTGACCGAACAAGCTTGAGATTGGATACTCCTCCTGAAACGAAAGCCGTGAACGCCACCAATATCTACGGACAGTTGGGTGAACTCAACGTGGTGGACCGAACAAGCTTGGGATTGGACCCCCTCCCCTGAACCGGAAGCTTGGACACCACCAATACCGCAACTCCGGGTGAACACAAAGTGGACCGAACAAGCTTGAACACACAAGGTAAAAAAGACAAACTCCAAACTGGAGGACACAAATTCTTTACTAGCAAAAGGGAAGTATCTTGACTAACAAAAGAGAAGTATGCTCCAAATGATGAGCATAAAAAAGGAGACAATTTCAAAACGAAAGGGGAGAGTGGACTAAAACAAAATAGACAGCATCAAAACGAGATAGGACCAAAAGAAGACAGCACCAAAACACAAAACGAGACAACACTAAAACACAAAACGGACTCCATCCTTCTAGAGGTCAGGAGAGACCCCAGACGCAAGCCCATCACTAATAACCCTCTCCGTCACAAGATTCCAAGGCGGCAGCAGCAGCAGCACAACTATACACAGCCATACCAACTAATACAAATCACAAAACCACACCAAAACAAACTTATTTTCAGCCGTACCCACCAAAAACTAAGCCCAAACAGACCAGAAAACACCCAAAAAAAGGGAGCCTGAAGGGGTATGAAACAACCTGACCGTAGAACAAAAATGACGGAAGCCAAATGGTCCAAACTAAGTCCACAACTGAGAAGAGGGGAATTAGGCAACCCAGAAACTGTCGTCGTAAATTTTTTTTTGGTGGGTGGAGAGGCCGCACGTGCCGGCGCGTGGCGGAGGGTTGCGGCGGCGCATGAGGCCCACGCGCAGCCCAGAACGACGCCGAAATTTCCAGATCCAGTCACCAGTGACCGGCGATCCTCCCTAGGTGGGCGGTGATGTCAGCGGAGCGAGAAAAAAAAAAGTATCGTAAAGGCTCTGATACCATTTTACGAAAGTAAGGAGAGAGTTTTTCTAATGTGCTGTCATATATTGTCTCAAACTTTCATATAGAAAAGAGAATACAAAGTCCTATAAATAGGTGCTAGAAGACTACGAATAGGAAACAAGTTTCCATATGTCCTGCCTACCTAAATCTATAAACTGCCTAATATATAGAGATTCTATATATCAAATATATATTCTATATTCCATAACAATTTGATTGTAGGCATTGGGAGATACGAAGTCCACAAATGGAGATATGAAGAAGAGCTTGAAATCAAATAAGAAATACAGACAGTTAGATGAGCAAAGTTTGAGATTGGAACCTCTAAGTAGCGAGGTATAGTAGTTCTTTTCTTTGTAAGTATACACCTAAAAATCTTATTTTACTCGCTTTTGCTTTTGATTTGTTGCCTAAAGTTGTCTGTTACATATGCCTATATAGTTAGTTTTACATTAAGGCAAAATCACTATTATATGATAGTATGATACTCAATATAAACAATTAGATCCACCTTTCTCTATCCTTCCTCTCTTCCCTCTTCTGCTCCCCCTCTCTTTACCCTGCCCAAGCCCCTCTCTCTTCTCTTCACATCACTTAATGGCTGTTTTGATAGGTGTGCTGTATTGATGGAATAAATGGGGCCCCTTATATTAAGGATTATTTAATATGAACTTCATAGTTGATCTTTTTTTTTTGGATAAGTAGAGAGATTATATTTATTTAGGCACCAAGATGTACCATCCAGAAAACACATTTTATCAAATTTAATCTCAAGATTCTGTTTTCTTTATGTTGTTTTGTATCCCAAGATTTTATATTATCATGTTTCAAATTGTCAAATTTACTTACTTAGTGCTTTGTTTTCCTGTTATTTCAGCTACTTGCATACTTATCCCAGCGAATGATTTCTGGGGAAACCTTGCGGAGAAATGGTGTCATGCAGCATAAAGCCTATAATCAGGTTTGTTATCTTATTGCATTTTAATATTATTGCACTTAGAGTCTTGGATTGATTAAGAGGCTACTTGGGGAAAGTTGATTTAATTTTGGAAAAAGGGTCAAATTGGCCTCCTAAGTCATTCGGATATTGCAATTAGGTTCCTAATTAAAAAAAGCTCCATTCAAATCCCCTAAACCTGTAAAATTGTTCAATTGAGTCCAAATTGACAGAGTATAGTTGGTTAATTCTTCCCAAGCATGACACGTGTCATTTTTAAAATATTCTTTTTAATTTTTATGTTTTTGATCAGTTCTCAAACTTTTCCCTTTGAATTACCTAATTTTCAGTTTTGTGTTCCTATTTGAGGCCATTCTTTGCAATTCATTAGGCTCTTGAACCTTTCACCATTGGCTCTTGGACCATTTTAATCATTTGGAAATTTCACCTAGGGCTTTATATACAAGGCTGCTTGACAGCTGCTCTTCTGGCAAGTCTGATTTTGTACGGCAAATTTGTGTTTCTTTAAATGTTCTTCTCTTCTTTTGTGAAACCCTCATCCTCTTAATCTTTAAAGTGATCAAACTCCTTAATGAACTAGTAAAGGCTTGTCCCATATTAGAGAAATATTGTAAGCTCTAATTACCTCATCTTACCATAGTAGGTTTTCCATACGGATATGATGAATTCAATGTTTCCCAGGCTAACTTCTCTGAAAGTTCTATTGATACAGATTGTTATTGCATTTCCTTATTGGAGGAATCGCGAAATTGTAAGCTGCAAATACCGGGATATAAACAAAAGCAAAAGATTTTGGCAGGTGCTTGTCAATACCCTTTCTTTAGCTAAGAAACACATTGATTTTAAAGCTTGATATAGTGCTGCAGTTTATTTTCCAAACTCCACTAGCTGCATTCACACATTATTCATATTATCCACATTTATTGATTCAACCCTTATTGTGTCTTATTTGTAAGGCTAACCTCTTCACCTTTGAGTTGGGGAAATTCCCTCTTAATTCTTTCATGATAAAAAGTGGTGACAACTATTCAGATTTTCCATTTTAAGATTTTCTTCTATTTATTGTTCTTGATGCTTTTGATTCTAAACTATGAATATCATTTGCTTTTTATTTTGTTTTTTTGGCACAGTGTTACTAATCTCTGATTGTTGTGCCATTGTTACTTTTCAGGAAAGTGACACTGAAAGGATATTGTATGGATTGGATGATATAACGGGAGCAAGTGATATAATTATTGTAATCTCAAGTCTTTTAAATTTTCCTCTTTATAGAAGCACTTAAGGATTGTGCTCTTTGTAAATGCCTACTCTTTTATTGCAGGTTGAGGGTGAGATGGACAAGCTTGCAATGGAAGAAGCTGGCTTTCGAAATTGTGTCAGCGTCCCCAATGGTGCTCCTGCATCTGTTTCCAAAAAAGAGTTGCCACCCGAGGATCAGGTCACTATTTTACATTTTAATCAATAGTCAACACAATCCTTAAGGAGATTCTTTCTTTCATATCTTTTCTGTATTTTTCAAAATGCATTTGCTTACTTTCTTTGCTTTACCATGTGCTGCATTATTTTAATTCTAGCGGCTCTTTTCATCTATGTGCATCAATATTTAGCTACTTGTCCTTCAGTCCGGAAGTCCAAATAAGATTGGTTCTTGTAATGGGTAAGAATGAGGAAAAAGCAATATATATAACAAGATCAAAGCTCTTTCAAGTCTGTATGTGATATAAGCAACCTTCACTTTCCTTAGTGATGAAACATCGTCTACAAATGCTGGATCTAATGCTTGTTTTATGTGGATTCTGTAAAGATAGGACACAAGGTATAAATATCTTTGGAACTGCAAAGAATTCTTTGAAAAGGTTTGCTGACTCATTTCTTTTATAATGTTGTGAAAATGTTGCAACCAGAAGGTTTTGGTTCTCTGATTATTTTATTTTATTTTTAATAGGCATCTCGTATAATACTTGCAACTGATGGGGATGCACCTGGCCAGGCTCTAGCTGAAGAACTTGCCCGCCGTTTAGGGAGAGAAAGGTTTATATTTCTCTCCTTTGATGTTATGATCATGTGAATTTATTTTTTTGTTGTAATTGGCATAAATTTATTGGCTAAATAGGTGCTGGCGAGTGAAATGGCCTAAGAAGATTAATGGGCATTGCAAAGATGCAAATGAGGCAAGCATGTTCATTTTGAAATTTTATTTCATGTGGGTTTATCCACAGGAATTCATAAACCTAATGATTATACTTTTCTAAATGAAAATATTTTCCCCTTCATGAGTCCTCATCTGGAATGTTTTACTAGTTGATATTATTACTTTGTTACTCTGCTTTGATGTGGTTGTATATATCTTTGACCAGAAATGGAGATTGTATTTATAAGTGGGAAAGAAATTACATTAGAGGATCAGAGCTTCTGAGTCCTGTAAAATCTATTAAACTTAGTTGTTACTGTTCAATCTGCGTAATTCTTGCACTTGTTTGTTAACTATTAAAAAAAAAGTTATTGCTTTTGTTGTTTTCTGCCACCCAAGTTCATCTGCTATGCATGCCTTTGACATATTAGGTGCTTATGTATCTGGGACCTGATGAATTGAGGGGGGTCATTGAAAATGCTGAGCTATATCCCATATAAGGGTTATTCAACTTCAACTGAGGCTGAGTACAAGGCGTTAGCGGATGTGTCTGCAGAGGTTACTTCGCTGGTTTCACTCACTGAGCTTGGGTTAGCTCCTGTTACTTCGCCTACGCTCTGGTGTGACAATATAGGGGCGCTACCTTCCTGTGTGCGAATCCGGTGTTTCACGCTAGGACTAAGCACGTTAAGATCGACTATCACTTTGTCTGTGATAATGTTTTTAGGAAGGAGCTGCAGTTCATTTCATCTCGACAAAGGATCAACTGGTTGACATTTTTACAAAGCTTTTGTTGGGTTCGTGTTTTTCTTTTCTTTGTAGCAAGCTCAATGTAGCTTCCCCACCTTATGCTTGAGTGGGTGTTAGGAGTCTTAGTAGTTCAGTAGTTGTAGGACTCTCTATTATTCCTTATATGGCTATATTGTCTTGTACGGTTCATTTGTGATTATTGATCAGACTTTCATCTTCATCTTAGATATTGAGAAATTTTTGCATGTGATTATGAAAGAGAACATCAGAGATATAAAAAGAATAGAAGGAAAAAAAAAAAGCATAGGAAAATCTGCACCCAACAAAGAAACTATAATAATATAGGGCATGTTTAGTTATTAACGAATCCGCCAACTTTGGCGTTTTGACCATGGTCAAAACGCCAAAGCTATTGTTTGGAAACAACGGTTTAGAGCAGCGAATTGCTCCAAATCGTTGAAATGCAACACTCTGCTTTTAGCCGTGTGTTGGGTTGGCGTTTTGGGAAGGAATTTTCCTTCTCCAAAACACCCTCCAATTATTATTAATTATTAATATATATATATATATATATATATATATATATATATATATACACATATATATGTTGTGTTTTGAAGCTTGATGCTTCTTTATTTAAAAAAGCTTTAGGCTTCTCCACTCTTGTCCATTTGATATGGGATCGGCAAGAGGCAAATTAATATAAAGGGGCGTTGAACTCCCTTTTATAAGGGAGCTAACGCCTTTTTTTTTTTTTTTTTTTTTTTTTTTTTTTTTTTTTTTAAATTCTTTCGACTAGGGATTAGTGGATTCCCACATCTTTTTTGTTTGTTTGTTTTTTTTTTTTATTTTTACTATTATTATTATTATTATTATTATTATTTGTTTGTTTGTTTGTTTTGTTTTTATACTATTATTATTATTATTATTATTATTATTATTATTATTATTATTATTATTATTATTATACATTTTTGGTCATTTTACATGTTAGCTGTTAATTTTATCAAATATCTTTTTACAAATCGCTGATACAATCCGCTGGTTAAACCCGCTAACACAATTCGTTATTTGTTAACCGTTAATACAATCCGCTAACCAACTGCACACAATAATTCAATTAGGCCACCGAACCTAAAAAATCAACAATTGGGTCTCTAAACTAACCAATTTCAAACAATTCTTCAAATTTGAAGGTTTCCAACTGTTCAACCTTCCGAATTAATTATTTTTAAAAAAATAAAATTTCAAAATTAATTATTAAAAAAAAAAAAGAACAGGACCGGCCTGAGACGACCGTCTCCGGTCGGTTTCTTCGTCTCCATTGCCGGAGATGAAGAAACTCTTCGTCTCCATGGCTGGAGACGAAGAAACTCTTCGTTTGTGGCATTATGAATGTACACTTATGAAATTATAAATGTACAGTTATGGAATTATGAATATACAGTTATGCGATTATGAATGTACAATTATGGAATTATTAATGTAAGTTATGGA